CCAGAGCCGGGCGCGCCAGGTAGGATGAGCCCGTGGTGCCGCGGCCGCCGCTGACCTTTTCGGCCCTGACCCCATGTCCCGAGGCCCATCGGGCCCTCGAGTTCTAGGGCGCCCGGGCCGGGGCGTCCAGACTGCGCTCTCTGGGAGCTCCGGGAAGCGGGAAGACAGCCCTGGGCGTCCCGCCTTTCTTCCCCAGAGAACGCACGCCCTGCATCGCGCTCCCCGTCCCTCCTGCTCCAACGTCCTCTGGTCCTTCTTTCTGTCTGTGCCTCTGTCTTTGTCTCAGCTTCTCGGGCACACTCGCTCCCTGCCCAGATTTTGTGGCCCAGGGCCCCGGCAGCCGGACTCCGGGGTTCTGTCTCCTTCCCTGTCACTGAGCTTCCGTCTGGGCCTCCCCTGTGAGAGGCTTGCGGTCTTGACCAGATTGGTCTCAGCCCCCATCTGGGTCCCTGTCCCCATCTGTGTTGGTCTTCATCTCTGCTTCTCTTCTGCCTGCCTGGTTGAGCCGCTTTTTTCCAGGTCCCCACAGGAGCCCAGTCCCCCTGCCCTGGTGCCAGCGGGAGATTAGCCCTGGGAAGCTGAGGGGGCAAAGTGAAGAGCCCCAGTCTCTGTGGCCAGGTCACGGGGTCCTTGAACTCGTTGCTGCCCTTCTTCAGCCTCAGTTTCCTTTTCTATTCTGAGGAAAGACATATATCCCTATTCCAGTCTTTCCAAACCTGCGTGAGATTGTAAGAGCCTGTGTGGGGTGGGTGTCTGGAAAGGCAATTGGGGTACAAATGATAGGATTCAGGGTGGAAGAGGCAGGGAGGGGGTCGCTGAGGGCCAGGGTGGACAGGACCCTGAAGCTGAGGATGGGAAGATTAGAAATGACTTTCTCTGCTGGATTTGGAGTGAAGAGAGAACAGAGACACAAAGTCTCAAACAGCATCCTGCATAGAGCTAGGGAGTACAAAACTCTCACCCTCAGCACTGTTTGGAGATCCTGTTCCCACCCCTGACACACACATATGCTCACATCTACTTGCCCTGTTGACTTAGGACCTTTGGCCAGTTAGGTACCTGGGGCCAGCCTCTCTCTACCTTGCTGTCTCATTCCCAAGGCTTAGGATCTCTATCCCTTCCTTGGGAGACTCTGGGGATGGCTTTTTAAGAGGACCTTTGGTAGTTCAACTGGACTCCAGTCACTCCAAGGGTTGGAAACTGTCACTAAGAGGCTCTTCCCTTCCTCTTTCTGGGTGGGTCCTCAACCAGCAGTGCCTCCTCTCTGAAAATCCAAGGCTCAGGACAAGAACTGGACCTCCAAGTTTGTAACTCTGACATGGCCTCTGTTGCAGAGGTATTGACTTCAGGGTCCCCTGAGGTTTGTGCAGGTCTTTGACACTCTGTTCTACACAGGGGTTGTCATTGGCTGGGGTCTCCTGTCCTCTACCTGGGCCTCCACTCCCCAACTCCCTCCCCCTGACCCCTGCTGAATTTGGTAGGGCAAACTTAGGCAAACTCCATCTGAAAGACAGGTATCCCAGGTACTTCTCAGCCTAGTTAGTGACACCACCCTCTCCCTGGCTCCTGAGCACCTAGGAAAGGGGTGTGGGAGATGCAGAGTCAGAAGGGGCAGCTGCTCTCAGGTTCTACTTTTCCTGGTCTGTTTGTCCGTCTCTGTCTCTCTGCAGGAACTGGGTCCTTTCTCATTTCTCTTCCTGTCTGTCCTTTCCTGGTCCCTGTTTCCTCCTCTCTTTGCCTTTGCTGCTTCTGCCCTCATCCTCTGGAGACCCAGGTCTGCTGGACCCATCCATCCCCTTTGGGGCCATGGGATCGCTACTTGGGCTCCTGGCACTGCTGCTGCTGTGGGGCACTGTGGCTGAGGGCCCAGCCAAGAAGGTGCTGACCCTGGAGGGGGACCTGGTGCTGGGCGGGCTGTTCCCAGTGCACCAGAAGGGTGGCCCAGCAGAGGAGTGTGGTCCTGTCAATGAGCACCGTGGCATCCAGCGCCTGGAGGCCATGCTTTTTGCGCTGGACCGCATCAACCATGACCCGCACCTGCTGCCTGGCGTGCACCTGGGTGCGCACATCCTCGACAGCTGCTCCAAGGACACATACGCTCTGGAGCAGGCACTGGACTTTGTGCGTGCCTCACTCAGCCGCGGTGCCGATGGCTCACGCCACATCTGCCCTGACGGCTCCTATGCCACCCATGGTGATGCTCCAACTGCCATCACTGGTGTCATTGGCGGCTCCTACAGTGACGTCTCCATCCAGGTATGTGGAGGTCACCCAAATGGGGGATGGGGAGGGAGGCCAGAGGTGTTGACCCAGAATTCTCCCAGAGCAGGGGCTCCTGGGCTGCCATGCATTGAAAGGGGAACTAGAAGCTTCCTTTCAGTGGCTTTTTACAGAAGACTAAGAAAGTGCCCTTGTCACATAATGGGAGAGGGGGGGATGTTGAGTGTTAGGGATTGTGCAAGAGAAACACCCCACTCCCACCACACACACACACACACACACACACACACACACACACACACACACATACACCCTTGATGTTAAACAACCCTGAGAGACTTAATAACCAGGCCTTTGAAGCCAGACCTCCGGGTTTCAATCCTGGCTCCCCCCAGTTACTAACTACATGACACTGGGTAGGCTATTTCTTTTTTCTGTGAAAGTTTCCTCCTTATAAATGGGATTCATCGCACTTCTTACTTTTAGATTTGTAGTGGATAGTTAATGAGGGGCTACATGAGCATCATGTATTCAAATGCCTGGCAAGTCATAGAGGCACAGTCAATATTAGCTGCTATTATTATTAACCATTTATTATTATTATCATTATTATTAATATTATTAAGTCAGTGTCTCACTCTGTTGCCCAGGCTGGAGTGCAGTGGCATGCTCACGGCCATTTCAACCTTGGTCTGCTGGGCTCAGGCAATCTTTCCACCTCAGCCTACCAAGCAGCTGGGATTACAGGTGTGTGCCACCATGCCTGGCTAACTTTTTGATTTATTGTAGAGATGAGGTCTCGCCGTGTTGCCCAGGCTGGTCTCGAATCCCTGGGCTCAGGCAATCCTCTCATTTCCTCCTTCCAAAGTGCTAGGATTATAGGCATGAGCCACTGCACCTGGCTTATTAGCTCATTTTATAAATGAGGAAACCAAGACTTGGAAAGAGGCAGGTCACAAGTCAAGGCAGTGGCTTGAAATTAGGGCTCCCAGCCAAGGGCCTCCTCATCTGTCAGTTCATCTCTCTTGGAGAAGGGTGGACAGACAGAAGTCAGGAGTGGCCAGAGGAGAGAATAAGTGTGGGAGAACTCGGGAAGAAGAGAAGTAGAATGCGTGTATGTGGGGGGGGGGAGGATAATCTTCAAGGAGCACAGGATTTGAGGGGGCAAGAAGGTGGGGAACAAACCTTCCCATCCCCCTCCACCTCCTGCTCTTCCATAGGGGGCCAGCAGAGGGTGCTCTTCTGCCCAGCTTCAGCAGAGGGTGCTGACCCAGCTGACGTTCCTCTGCTGCTCTTAGGCTGTGCCCACTTGCAATCTTTCCCCTCTCTGATGGGGTCCCACCTCTCACCCAAATACCCACTTGCCAAGTGCCCAGAATATGCAAAGGTGAAGCCAGAACTAGGGTCGGGGCTGGGGAACATGAGGGGGTGGGGGGATTGGCTTAGACCCTGGCTTCCTTTAGGATGCTGGCTGAGGGCATTGCCACCAAGGGTAGGGCCAGGACCCCTGACTTGGAGCTATTATTCAGGAGAAATGAGACAGAAGCAGGAATCTGAATCCTGGATTCAGCTTCTGGCCCAGGCTCGGGGAGGTTTGGCCACATCCCTCACTTCCAAGAGTGAATTATCTGTCCTGCTGGTCCCAGCTACTGGAGGTGGCTAGGTGGCAGCCTGGACAGGAGTGGCTGTGCTGGCATCTACATCTGCAGCCCTGGGTGGGGGGCAGGGATGGGTGGACAGCTTTCTGCTGATGTCTGCAGGGACATTGGGGTACTTGCCCAGCATGTCTTCTCTCCATAGTTCCCTCCAGGCCCTATGCATTTATCTCTAGGAGGCCAGTTACCTCCTTGCCATCCTGAGTGGCCTGCCTCCTGTAGTAGGGCCTATGCCTCAGCATCGGTCTGCTTTTTCTTTGTCCTGGTCAGCACAAGGCCAAGCCCTCCATCCTTAGGCTGTGTCTGCCTGTTAATGACTCCTCCACATTCCTGCCTGTCTCTCTTGCCCATATCCCTATCATCTTCCAGTTGCCAGGCATTGTGGCTTCCCATGCATTATCATTTTTATATGCTCAGCAGCCTTGTAGGGCAGGATGTGAAACTGAGGCTCAAGGAGATTGGTCAACTCCAGAGGCACAAAAGTAGAAAATGCAGGAGGAGGCATCCAGCCCTAGACTGTCAGAGTCACAGCTTGTGTCCAGTTGCAATACAGGCTTAACCCTTTCCTGTGGAGCCTGGACCATGCTCTGCTTTTACCTACCCACCATCTACTACATCATTGGCTAGGCTCTGCTTCTGTGGTCAGGCCCCAGGGACCTGAGGGTGGGAGAGGTGCCAGGCAGTCAGTGGTGGATCAGGAACCTTGTTTATTTCAGGCTCAGGTATCCAGTGGAGACCAAACCTTGGGCTACTAGGGCCATGGAAGTTTCAAATCTGGGTCTTTCTTCCTGGGGAGCCTTTTCCTTCTTTCTCCATCATCCTATCAGGATAGACTCTGGGCAAGGTTTACTTGTCCCCCAACAATTAGACAGCTGAAGAGCCCTGGGCATCCAGATGCCATCTCATGCCTCCCTCTGCTCCTGGTGTAGCCTGGTGCCAACTTCCCTCCATCCCAGGTCTTCCCTTAGCTACCTTGCAGCAGAAAGAATTAGGTGTGGCTTGCTCAGGACTCTGGTGCCTCAGCCCTTAGTCTTCTCTTTCTCAGTCCTTGGGAAGGGACAGAAAACTCCCTGCCCCTGGGGTAGAACCCATCAGGTCAGGATGCAGGCCTTTAGAGAGGAACTCTTAGGGCTAATCTTTTGTATACTTGACACCAAGTCCTGCTGGATGTGGGGGATGCATCTGTATCCACTGTTTGACCTGATCTCTGATTTTTGTCCCCTCTACTCCTCCCCCAGGTGGCCAACCTCCTACGGCTGTTTCAGATCCCACAGATCAGCTATGCCTCCACCAGTGCCAAGCTGAGTGACAAGTCCCGCTATGACTACTTTGCCCGCACAGTGCCCCCTGACTTCTTCCAAGCCAAGGCGATGGCTGAGATTCTCCGCTTCTTCAACTGGACCTATGTGTCCACTGTGGCATCTGAGGGCGACTATGGCGAGACAGGCATTGAGGCCTTTGAACTAGAAGCCCGTGCCCGCAACATCTGTGTGGCCACCTCAGAGAAAGTAGGCCGTGCCATGAGCCGTGCAGCCTTTGAGGGTGTGGTGCGGGCCCTGCTGCAGAAGCCCAGTGCCCGCGTGGCTGTCCTGTTCACCCGTTCTGAAGATGCTCGTGAGCTGCTTGCTGCTACCCAGCGCCTCAATGCCAGCTTCACCTGGGTGGCCAGCGATGGCTGGGGAGCCCTGGAGAGTGTAGTGGCAGGCAGCGAGGGGGCTGCTGAGGGAGCCATCACTATCGAACTGGCCTCCTACCCCATCGGTGATTTTGCCTCCTACTTCCAGAACCTGGACCCCTGGAACAACAGCCGGAACCCCTGGTTCCGTGAGTTCTGGGAGCAAAGGTTCCGTTGCAGTTTCCGGCAGCAAGACTGTGCAGCCCACTCTCTGCGGGCTGTGCCCTTTGAGCAGGAGTCCAAGATCATGTTTGTGGTCAATGCAGTATATGCCATGGCCCATGCACTGCACAACATGCACCGTGCCCTCTGTCCCAACACCCCCCGCCTCTGTGATGCAATGCAGCCAGTCAACGGGCGCCGTCTCTACAAGGAGTTTGTGCTCAATGTCAAGTTTGATGGTAATGGTGCTGACCAGTGTCCATCAGCCTCTGACTCTCAGAGGATGAGAGGGAGTAGGCCCTAATTCTGGATGAGAGGGAGTAGGCCCTAACAGAACCTAATTCTGTTACATGACTAAGAAAACTCAATATAGTGAAAGTAAAGGACTCACCCAGGGGCTGGTATCAGAGCCAGGACAAGGATGGGTAAGCAGAGAAGACTCCAGCTGCAGCCAGGGCTGAAGTTCCATTTTCTTCTGGAGAGTATACCTCTGGCCTGGTCCTGCCCCTTTAAGGGTCTCTGGCTCCTGCTTGGGCTTTGACCTCTTTCTCCTGTTTCCTTATCTTGCTGGGGTGGAGACCAGGGAACCTTAAGCCTTTTCTCAGGCAGCAACAAGAGTCAGAATCAGGATGCGTTGAGGGTAGGCATCAGAATGACACTCCATATTCAGGAAAGTTTCTTTTCTTGTCCTCCTCCTTTTTCTTCTTCTTCCTTTTTTTTTTTTTTCTTTCTTTCTTTCTTTCTTTTTTTTTTTTTTGAGATAGGATCTCACTTTGTTGCCCAAGCTGAAATGCAATGGCTAGTCACAGGCACTATCATAGTACACTACAGCCTCAAACTCCTGTATTCAAGTGATCTTCCTGCCTCATCTCCCAAGTAGCTGGGACTACAGGCACATGCCACTATGCCCGGCTTCAGGGAAAATTTCTATTCCTAATCTTGATTTTCTACTCAAGGTGACCAATGTCTCCTGAAATCAAAAGTTATTTTTAAAAAGTGCCAGTTTTAAGAAAAAAATGAGTGCTTCAGAATCATCACTATGCTTTAGGCAGGGTCATTTTGGAAACAGTGGGAGGGAGTATCAGGGCTGAAAAAAACACTGGCACAGGGTCAAGATAAAGAGTAATTCCAGTGGAATTGACATTCAGAATTATGCCAGAATCAGAGTAGGGGTTAGGGTTGGGGCCTCGGGTTCAATTGGGTTGATGTTAGAGCAAGGCTAAATTCAGTCTGCTTGACTTGGGTGGAATTTACAATAGGGCTAAGGTTGGATTTCGAGAAATTTGAGGCTGTGTAGAAAGAATAGGGGCTTAGGGGACCTGGGTTTGAATCTAGACTGCACTGTTCACTCATAGGGCCTTAGCATGTCATCTGCATGCTTAAAGATGACTTCGCACTGGGACCAAAGGTGGCTGTAGTTCTGGCTCCTAACCCCGGCTGGGAGATGTGAGGTTCATAGGGGATGGAGTGGGGGTGGACAGTAGAAGTGATTTTCGAGCTGCTGTGTTCATTCTGATGATTGGCAGTTGTTGATAAGATTAGTGGGACCAGGATTGGACCTGAGCTTGGGTTTAGCCTCAGGGTTTGTGTTAAGTTTGGAGAGAGGCTATGGTGTGTGTTGTGACAAAGTTGGGACTGGGGCCTGGGTTGGAAAGTGTGGGATACTAGGTCTAAGGTTGAGTTTGGGGAGTCATGGTTGGACATTAGGTTTGTGGAGATTCCTGGGTTTAAGGCTGAGATTTAGGGTTGGAGTTTGAGCTTGGAATTTAGAAGTAAGACTTGGTTGGTACTTCTCATTTAGAAAAATAGCTGAGGTCAAGACAGGCTTTAGTGTTGGGGTAAAGATTGGAAGGGCTAATGGTGGCCTTATCTCTGGGTTTTGGGTTCTATGTTAGGGTGGAGTTGAGGTCACCTCAAGGTAACACATCAATCCAACTCTCTCTTCCTTTCCTCACCAACCCTAGCCCCATTCCGCCCAGCTGACACCCACAATGAGGTCCGCTTCGACCGCTTTGGTGACGGTATTGGCCGCTACAACATCTTCACCTATCTGCGGGCAGGCAGTGGGCGCTATCGCTATCAGAAAGTGGGCTACTGGGCAGAAGGCCTGACCCTCGACACCAGCCTCATCCCATGGGCCTCACCCTCAGCTGGCCCCCTGCCCTCCTCTCGCTGCAGTGAGCCCTGCCTCCAGAATGAGGTGAAGAGTGTGCAGCCGGGTGAGGTCTGCTGCTGGCTTTGTATCCCATGCCAGCCCTACGAATACCGGTTGGATGAATTCACCTGTGCTGACTGTGGCCTGGGCTACTGGCCCAACGCTAGCCTCACTGGCTGCTTCGAACTGCCCCAGGAGTACATCCACTGGGGTGATGCCTGGGCTGTGGGACCTGTCACCATTGCCTGCCTAGGAGCTCTGGCCACCCTCTTTGTGCTGGGTGTCTTTGTGCGACATAATGCCACACCAGTGGTCAAGGCCTCGGGTCGGGAGCTCTGCTACATCCTGCTGGGTGGTGTCTTCCTCTGCTACTGCATGACCTTCATCTTCATTGCCAAGCCATCCACAGCAGTATGTACCCTACGGCGCCTCGGTTTGGGCACTGCCTTCTCTGTCTGCTACTCAGCCCTGCTCACCAAGACCAATCGCATTGCACGCATCTTCGGTGGTGCCCGGGAGGGTGCCCAGCGGCCTCGCTTCATCAGTCCTGCCTCGCAGGTGGCCATTTGCCTGGCGCTTATCTCAGGCCAGCTGCTCATCGTGGCTGCCTGGTTGGTGGTGGAGGCACCGGGCACGGGCAAGGAGACGGCCCCTGAACGTCGAGAGGTGGTGACATTGCGCTGCAACCACCGTGATGCAAGCATGCTGGGCTCACTGGCCTACAACGTGCTCCTCATCGCACTCTGTACGCTCTATGCCTTCAAGACCCGCAAGTGCCCCGAGAACTTCAACGAGGCCAAGTTCATTGGTTTCACCATGTACACCACCTGCATCATCTGGCTAGCATTCCTGCCTATCTTCTATGTCACTTCCAGTGACTACCGGGTGAGCTAACTGGCACAGAGATTGAGGGGTGGGGGTGTGATACCAGATCCTCTGTTTCTTGGTATCTTATTTAATCTTATTTAAGCTCCCAGGAAGCTCCAAGAGATCATATTCTCACTCAGGGGCCCACAGCTTACATGGACCCCAGAGGAAGGTGGGAGAGCTGAGTGTGGCCTGCACCCCTCCCTAACAAGGGAGGTGGGTAACTTGAGTTAGAGAGAGCTGAAAAGAGACTTCAAGACTTGGATGTCATTCCCTAGCCTGGGGGGAGATTGGGGTGCAGAAATATGTTCAAGTGAACGGGGCTCTGCCCTGCTCCACCAAGGGGTCAACTGCAGAAGAGAATGAGAGATGAAATCAAGAGAGGCAGGAAAGGTGAAGCAAAGGGGAGGAAAGCCAAGGTTAGAGCAGGTGAAAAGTGTACCCAGTTGGTGGCTTCCAAGGAAATTTGGTTCCAGCTGGCACCTAGTGTCTCAATGGGTCTCCTCACCCCCAAGGGGCAATGGCTACATCAGATGGGGTCATCAGGGAAGGCCTCTCTAAAGACGTGGCAGATGAGCTGAGCTCTGAATGATAAAGGGATCATCTTGGTTAATCCTTATGACTCTGGAGTAAATGCCATGGTTCTCCCATTTTACAGATGAAGACACAGAGACTCAGGGAGGTTTAATCCCTTGTCCAAGATCACTCATCTTGGGGGTGCAGAGCAGGAAAATTGAGACAAAAGCCCTGACAAAGGCCCTTTCCTCAGAACAAAGGCGTTGTGGCACAGTGCTGGGGGCCAGGGGCCTGAGCTTGGCTGCTCTGCTTGCACCTGCTGGGCCACCTGCTTGGGTGGTAGAGGCTAGAGCTGGGGAGAAAATCTGTTCTGGCTCAACCTGTATTTGCATATGATTTGCACTTGCATGCCAGTCATAGGCAGCTAAGGACTTATCTGGAACACACTGTATCCACACATGCACGTGCACACACACACTTGTGCACAAACACACACATACGTGCATACATTCAGACACACACATACACATATCCCCATATGCTCATATACTCCCCAGCACACCTGGTACACACACATTTCCCTGCCTGCACACACATTCATATCCATGCACCATGCATGCGCTAACACACAAACGACTCACCACCCCACATACATAAACCCACACAGATATACACACACCTGCATGTATACACTCCATACCTGCACCCGCCCTCCCCGACATGCACACATCCCCATACCTACAAGTACGCTCACCCCGCCAGCTGGAATCCTGGTCTCCCAGGAAAATTGTCCACTGAGGCTGGTGCTGGGACTGTGCCCAACCTTTCTAGAAATCCTTGGCAAGTGGACCACAGCCCAGCATTGGATGCTAGTCTCCTGCACTTCCCCCGCAGTCTGGGCAGGGAGTCCCAGGGTCAGGCTCAGGCCTTTGAGACAGACTCATCCTTGACCTGTGCCTGATCACCCAATCACCCACTGCAGGTACAGACCACCACCATGTGTGTGTCCGTCAGCCTCAGCGGCTCTGTGGTGCTCGGCTGCCTCTTCGCACCCAAGCTGCATATCATCCTCTTTCAGCCGCAGAAGAACGTGGTTAGCCACCGGACGCCCACCAGCCGCTTTGGCAGTTCTGCTGCCAGGGCCAGTTCCAGCGCTGGCCAAGGTCAGCATCCTAAGTACCCCTCTCTTCTGGTCCCCTCACTCCCCACCCCAGCTCCTGAGATTTCTTGTCCGGGGGTGGGGTGCCCCACAGATGACACTGGCAGGAAAGGGCGGGAGAGGGGAGGCTACCCTTCACAGGCCTGCTTCCCCTGCTGCCTGTCCTCTATGCCTGCCTCTGCCTGAGGGTTGGCCCCAACCTCCGGCTTCCTTTTCCTAGGGTCTGGCTCCCAGTTTGTCCCCACCGTTTGCAATGGCCGTGAGGTGGTGGATTCGACAACTTCATCGCTTTGAAGACCCCACACTCCTGCCCTGACATGGCTGCTCCCTGGAACCCAGTGCAGACTCGCTTGCATCCAGGGCCAGGAGGAAATTGGCTGGAGCACTACAATAATGTATCGCCCGCCCCATGTCCACCCTCAAAGTCATTTGCCCACCTACTTCCCAACTCTTCAGAGTCAGAAGTCAGGGCCCTTGGTCAGAAACCTCTGCAATGGCCACCAACTGCCCTTGCAGGTGTGTCCCCTCCTTGCCAGGCCCAGGGCTCAGAGGGGAGAGAGCCAGGGTACACTCTGCCCTGGACTGGGGTGACTGAGGACTGCGGGCCCAATCCCGATCAGCAAAGGTGCTTCCAGCCCAGCCCCTCTCCTCTTCTAGGGCCTTTTAAGATTTTTATATTAGTTACTCTGGAATGGGGAGGGTGGTTATTGTGGGGGTTGTTCCTCCTGCTGCACAGTAGTTTGTCCTGTGGTTTATTTTGTATTACTTGTAAATAAAGTGTCTTTATTTAAAAAAAAAAAAAAGAACACTCTTTGCCCTTGACCCAGGGAGGGCCCTCACACCCTCTACAGTCTCCTGGCTGTCTAGTGTTTGTTGCATTAGTGTTTGTTGACTCTGCTCTGTGCTCGATGCTAGGACCTGGCAGTCACCAAGACAGATTCAGCCTGCCTGATGGGAAAATAAATAACAATCCTCCCTTAAAAGGAGCCACTGCAGACTGGCCAAGGCACTACTGGGTTGAGGACAGGAGGTTTAAATGGATGCAGATGAGTGGACAGGCTCATCATGCAGTCCAGGAGAGGGTTTTGCCTGGGGACCAGGCCTCTGGGGTGGTGTGGATGATGGGACAGGAGGGGCAGCTGGTTGTGACCTCTGGGCACAGTGGGCTTTTCCACAGCTGGTCCGCCTAGCATTTGGAGGAGTTATTGGCCTATGTGGAGCCAGGCCGAGTGCTTGGTGCAGAGGGAACCAAGAGGAAGCATAGACTGAACGTCACCTGTTCACAAGGCACCTGAAAAGCCAGAAAGAGCTTGTGAGGAGGGGAGAGGGTGAAGCAGGGAGGGCAGAAGCTGGGCAGCTGGAGTCACCATCTGCTGTTAGGCTCAGTGAGAAGTCAGAGAAGGGGCCCTGCCTCCAGTCGCTGGAGGAGCTCTGGCCTGGTGGGCTGGTGTGGAGCCCAGTGCCCTTGGGCATCTCGGGCATTAACCGGCTGGGGCTTACCAGCAGAGGGCGCCAAGCCACACGGCTCAGGCCGAGCAATGGCTGCCCTCATGTGGCCTAAAGGGCAGCAGGCACCCAACCAGAGTACAGCAGCTTCGGAGGAGCCCCCACCACTAGGTCCTGCGTTAGCAGACAGGTAGGCCAAGGCATTTGATATTTTAAGATGAGCTCATTTGCGTCCACAGGCTGGTGTGACTATGGAAATATGGATTCACAATTAAAAAATGGAAACAGAGAAATAAAAAAGAATATTGCTGGAATGGCTTCTTCTCTCTAGCCAATATCTGGGATGTAGGGATAACATAAAACAGAATACCCTGTTAAATTTGAATGTCATGAAAAAATGAATCCTTTTTTAGCATAAATATATCTCACACAATATTTGGGACATAGTTATACTAAAAAATTTTTGTTGTTTATCTGACATTCAAATCTAACTGGACATCCTATATTTTCATCTGTTGATTTTGGCAACCCTATTGGGATGGTGTCTATTCTAGCTCCCTGGCCTTGAATAACCCAGGTCTGGGTGCAGTCTCCAGTAGCCAGGCACAAGGCACCTTCAACACTGGCCCCTGCTTCCAGTATGGTCTTTTCTGGATCTTCCTGCCAAACTGGGCCCAGAAGACATTTGCTCACCCATCCCAAACCCTGGAAAAGCCAAGATGGAGCTCTGACCCTCTCATACTCCCAAAGCAACCCTTCTTCACAAGGCTCAGGAATATCTTCCTTAAAATGTAAAACAACAACACTACCACCAAAAAGCAAGTAGTAATGAACATGGTTCACAGCTAAAAAGGTACACAGGGCATTTGATGAAGACTCTCCTTCTTTACCTGCCAGCCACTTAGAGGAAATTACCAGAGGCCTGGGGACCAGGGAAGAAGTACAAGAAGTGGGTGAACAACTCCTAAGGACCAGTCCTCACATCTTCCCACCACACCCCTTTCCTTCCCCTGTACTTGTGAGTAGCCTACTTAGTTTTTGTCCTGTTGTCTCAGCAGTTCCAGTCCTCAGAGTTCATGGCCCCTACCACTCATCCTTACAGTGTGTGGGCAGTGAATCTTATTTTTTTTTAATTGGAGTCACTCTGTCGCCCAGGCTGGAGTGCAGTGACACATCTGCTGGGCTCAGGCGATCCTTCAGCCTCAGCCTTCCAAGTAGCCAGAACTACAGGCCCTTACTACCACACCTGGCTAATTTTTTTTTTTTTTTTTTTTAATTGTAGAGATGAGATCTCGCCAAGTTGCCCAGGCTGGTCTCAAACCCCTGGGCTCAGGCAATCCTCTCGCCTCGGCCTTTCAAGTACTGGGATTACAAGCTGAACCACTGCACCTGGCCTACTTTTTCTTTTTTTTGAGTTGGAGTCTCACTCCATTGCCCAGGCTGGAGTGCAGTGGCACACTCACAGCCACCCCAGCATCGACCTGCTGGGCTCCGGCGATCCTTCTGCCTCAGCCTCCAGTAACTGGAACTACAGGTGAGCATTACCATGCCCGGCTAATTTTTTGATTTATTGTAGAGAAGAGGTCTCGCCAAGTTGCCCAGACTGGTCTCGAACCCGTGGGCTCAGGCAATCCTCTCACCTCGACCTCCCAAAGTACTGGAATTACAGGCTTGAGCCACCGCATACAGCCACTTAACACATATTACTAAAACCAAGCCCTGCCAGCTCCCCCCACCCCAAGGCCTCCTCCCAGTGTTGTGTGGCCTGGGTTTATGTCTCTGGATTTCCTCCTCTCTAATACCACGATCCATGTCCCACAAAACCCGGACATCTCTGCTTGGGAAAGGAATAGGGACACAGGGGTCCCCATTGGGTCTGCTTACATTAGACTTGGAGTCCTCAAAAGAGGGCTCTATCCTCTCTGGGGAAGGAAAACCAAAGATGCCCAGCATTTAAGGTTCTCTTCCACCCTAGGGAGCCACCCATCATGGTAAATTGACTGTCTATGATTATAACTACCCAGTTGCTTTGCTTGGGTAGCCAGAGTTTACACTGGGACATTGTTTCTCCCATAACTTTGTTAAAGACCCTCCCATCCCCACTTCCATCATTTCACCTATCCCTTGAATTGGTCCTGTGAAACTCAACCTCTCTGGGTGGGCCTGGCTCTCTCTTATTTAACCAAGAGCAGCTTGGGTAAGTGTGGTTCAGGAGGCCACTCTGCTTTCGGCTCCCCCTGTCCTGACACTGGGTGGGAGGAGGAGGGAAACACTCATGTCACCAGGACAACTCTAATGAGGGATGCCTTTCTAAATGTGAAACCTGTCCAAAAGCAGACCCTTGAGCTATAACACCTAAATCCAAGAGGAAGGTGATGATATATTGGGTAAAGGACAAAATGTGGAGTTGAAAGATGATGTGCAGCTGGGAGTAAGATTCAAGCTCTTCCATACCCAGAATCTGAGGGTGGACATTGTCCAGAACTGCGTTCAGGCCAGTACTCTGCCTCCATTGCCTCAGCTCAAGCTGGGTGTTCACCTTCCTCTCCTTCTGTAGGGGTCATGGGAGGCAGAGGGGAAAGGAGGAATCATTGTGGGTCTCAAAACACTCGGAAGACGTCTTCACCCCAAGTCCCAGCAGAAAAAGAAACAGAGCCCACCACTCCTACTCCCACGAACCAGTGAGGGTTAAGCACTAAGAGATGGGCATTCTCAGCCTGGGGGAGAGAGGCTAGATCTGGGGAAAGCAGGGGAAGGAGAAAGGGTGTGTGTGTGTTGGGGTGGAGGAGTGAACAAGGAGAAAGAGAGGGAAATAGAGGAGACTTGGGGGAGGGACATGGGGGCAGGAGGAGGAAAGCAAAGCTAAACATGGAAGCTTTAAACCCTGAGGGCTCTTACCAGAGTGTCTGTTTTTTTTTTTTTCATTTAAATAAAAATTACTTTATTCTTTCTGTGAAAACAGTATATGCTCCCTACAAACAGTTTAAGCACTACAGAAAAGTACAAAAAGAAAATTATTGCCTCAAGTTTCATCATTCAAATATAACCATCATTAACATTTCTGGTACAGCACCCTCGACATATTTCTATGCATTTATACAGATAGAAAGAGAGATAGAAATACTCTCATAAAAATGGGATCATACCATATGTCTTTTTTTTTTTTTTAGAGGTTTAATTTTACTTGACTCTAATTGAAGAAAATGAATCAGAGGTAGAGCTGAAGAAATTTTTGAACTTCACATTTATACACAACAAGGTGTTTTTCCCCCTGAAGAAATTCCTCTAAGTTTAAGAAAAGGGATTGAGTGACATTTAGAGGCAAACATTCCTTCAGTCTCAGGAGGAGAGTTTGACCTGTTGTTAACCTTCTTGCAGCATGAATGGAAGGAATCATGCACTGGGAAAAGTTGGCAGGATCTGCTGATCCTAGGGGGTCCCAAGACACACTGCTCCTGGTCCTGGGACTGTGGTCTGTACAGGCTGTCATTTATACTTGGTAGCCACACTCAACACTAGGAGCAGGGCAGGCACATATTTAAGCATACCTGTGGATGCATGGGCTCCTGAAGCTACCTACACTGCCATTTTCTTTTTAAAAATTAATTTATTTTTATTTTTAGAGATGAGGTCTTGCTATGTTGCCCAGGCTGGTCTTGAACACCTGGGCTCAAGTGATTCCCCTGCTTTGACCTCCCAAAATGATAGTATTATAGGCTTGAGTCACCTTGCCTCCTACCTCTGCCATTTTCATGAACAGATTTGAAATCTGATTTTCTAGGAAACTTGCTAGTGTTTCATTTAGGTCTTGGTCCCTTCTCAAATTAAGTTTTGTGTGTGAGATAAGGATCAATGTTATTTCTTACCCACATGGATATTCAGTTGTTCCAGCATCGTTTGTTGAAAAGCTTCTTTCTCCCTACCTATGCCTTAAATCAATTGATCAAAAATGGGTGGGTCTATTTATGGATTCTGTTGTGTCTCATTGATCTACTTGTTTGTCCTAATAAATACCACATGTTCTTAATTACTGTAGCTTTATAGTAAATCTCGAGATCAGGAAGGGGAAACCCTCCAACATTATGCTTTTTTTTTTTTTTCAAGATTGTCTTGGTTGTTCTAGGTCCTTTGCATTTCAGTATTAAATTTTAGATTCAGGCTTTCAAGTTTTATAAAATAAATCTGTTGGAATTTTATTTGGGATTGCATTGAATATGTAAATCAATTTGTGGAAAATTATAAACTTAACAATAGTCAATTCATGATTTGATGTATCTTTTCATTTATTTCATCTTTCTAGTTTCTCTCTGCAATGTTTTGCAGTTTTCAGTGTAGGAGTCTTACAGTTATTATTTTA